CCCCCCCGGGGCGATCCCCCCCCACTGGCCACTGTGGCTGTAGCTTGCATCATCGTCACCATGGTAACCGAGCTGGCCAGCAACGCCACCACCATCACCATCTTCCTGCCCATCCTCTCGCCTCTGGTGGGCACGCGCACAAACACGCCCATGCCGCCGTTTATTGGGAGAACTTGCCAGTTTCATGCCGTCAACACTAATCCCCCCGCCCTCCACATTGGGGGGTTTTCTGTTTAAAAAAAAATCCCTAATCCCACCATCGTTCCACCTTTTCATGTGTCTTCTCCTGTCCGCGCCGTGCAGGCCGAAGGCATTCGCGTCAACCCCTTGTCGGTATTGATCCCGGCCACGTTGTGCACGTCCTTCTCCTTCCTGCTGCCGGCGTCCAATCCTCCCAACGCCGTGGTTTTCGCCTACGGACACTTTAGCGTGGCAGACATGGTGAGCATGACCAACATTTTGTGGCATTTTTTTTTTTTTTTTTACCTTGACCTCCATGATGGCCCGTGCTTCCAGGTGAAGGCAGGACTGGGTGCCAACGTGATCGGCCTCCTCGTCGTCTTATTGGCCGTGAGCACCTGGGGCGTGCCTTTGTTCTCACTGGATACGTATCCCGATTGGGCGCCGCCGTTCAACGCCACCGTGCCGTGACAGGCGCAGCTCGCAATCACCTTCATCTATTTTGCCCTTTTGTTTGCTTATTTTTTTTCCCTCTTCGCTTTTGAGGCAATACCACTAGAACGGACACGAAGAGACAAGCGTTGGATAAATTGTACAGTGTAAGTGCAAGAACTGCAGTTCAGTGAACCCACCACAATATTGCAGTTCACTTTTCACAGTCCCATTGGATCACCGATTTTTTTTTTTTTTGCAAATATTCTTAGAGTTATTGTTTTGTTTTTTTTATACTGTTTGTACAATATTTTGTGTCATTCATTGCTCTTGCTCTACCTCAAAATATTATGTGTTTAAATTTGTTGTTTGAAAAGTGTTTCAAGACTTTCACCCTTTTTTTCTGAGAGTCATAAATGCTATAAAAACATGTATAGGGTGTATTTGAGTCAGGCATTTCTGAATGACGGATTTTAACTTACCACAAGGAGGTCTGGGAGGTAACCGTGTGATGGATAGGATTTGACGGTCGACAAGGCCTTGGGACTCATTCGAGAGCCGCTCTTGCACAAAATATTCAGCCTATTGATCAATGTCCCCAGGTGACAACAGTTCAATTTTGGTGTTTTGTATCACGGTCAAACGGACAGATAATCGGATGAACCAAAATTCCCATCAAGTAAACCAAAAACAAAAGCGAGGTAATTGTTTTGGGCAATAAAGAAAATAGCATTGCTGTTAGGAAACACGGAGAATACCGTTTTTTAAAATTTTTTTTTGAAGAAAAAAAATCCACGAAGACTGAAGTGCGCGGATGCCGAACTCTGGATACGTGGGGGGGAGGGGAGGTTCCCTGTGTACAGAAATGCAGTTCTGTGCATAGCTGCGGTATAACTGGCAGCTGATATGTCTGTGCACACCTGGCAAACACTAACGACGAGCGAAAGCTACAACGACCAAATGACAGTTATCGTCACCATAATTAACCATGACGTATAAAAATGTCGATGTGTTTTTTTTTTTTTGTCGCGCTGGAACTTGTGTTTGGAAGCGTGTGCGTTCCGGCATTCGAAGTGATCCCTCTTCGCGTGTCTCGTTGGATCTTTGGCTGCAGCCACAGGTTGCTCACCTGTGAGGCGGCGGGTGCGCGCATTCATTCCGACACTGCGCGCCCGCGCGGAAGGGACGGAACGGAGCCGAACCGAACCGAAGCGAAACGAAGCGTCCGCGACACGGAGCCAACCAGCCCGAATTCTAGCCGAAGCAAGCCACTTCCTCCTGGCCGCCTCGGACGAGCGCTCCGCTGACGCCACGTCAACTGAAGACAAGCAAAGTCTGCGAAGAACAAGCACTCGCTTCCCGCTGTGAGTTGACGACGCAGCGGCCATGCTGGAGCCGTCCTCGAGCGAAGACACCGGCGGAGAGTCCGACCCGGAAGTTGCCCGGGAGCCCACCGGGAGGGCAGACGGCTCCTCCGCGGTCAAGAGCCGAGCAGGCGGCAGCCGG